TATTGTAAAAGTTAACTATAACCGAATAAAAGGAGCCGGCCAAGAGGCCACCTTAACACCAAAAAAAATAAAAAAAAAAAATTAAGCTATATAAAGTTAATTTTTTGGTTCTTATAATATAAATTTTGAAAAATAATCTAATAATTTGGCTTTTACTTTTATTTTTAATAAATTTTTATAGAAAAAATTAAATATATACAAAATATTTGAAATACAAGTATTATTTTTATTAAAAATACAAGTAAACAATAATAATTTTAATAAATAATCCATCTGTCATTTGAAACAGATCTGCAAATTTTTATAAATAAATTTTACTATTGAGCTAAATATAGAGTACTTCAATTTAAAACTTTTTTACTAAATAAATTACTCTTGGGCTTCTAACAAAAGTTGTAAAGCTTATCAAAATATATCTAATAATAATAAAATATTAAAATCAGCTTTGTAGTTCTTAAAAAATTTTTAAAAATCTTTTACTAATATATAAAATTTCTTTAAAAAATTAATTTTTTTAAAGAAATTTTATATATTAGCAAAATGTTTTTAAAGATTTCTCAAGAACCACAAAGTTAATTTTAATATTTTTACTATTATTAGATATATTTTGATAAGCTCTACAACTTTTATTAGAAACTTAAGAATAATTTACTTAGTAAAAAAAGTTTTAGATTGGAGCACATCACATTTGGCTCAATAGTAAAATTTACTTATAAAAATTTGCAAATCTTCTTCAGATAACAGATGGATTGTCTATTAAGAGAGAATTTATTCATCATATAGACAATATTGTTACTCTAATGAGATTATAAGATTAGATATAATATAAAATCAAAACAATATTTTTTTTATATAGTTAGAGTTAGGAATAGATAAAGATAGAGTTGAAGCAAAAACCAGGTTTTATAGTAAAATTTTACAAGAAATTTTTTTATTAGAACCTAGAAGGTAGTTTTATATACAAAATTTTAAGTTATAAGTAATTTTTGATAAACTATTCATTTGTTTTAAATTTTTCTAAATATATAATATTATATTTGATTTTAAGATTCGATTAGTTGATTATATAATAATGATATATAAAATATATTATATTAGGGTAATAAATAAATATACTCTTACAACTTTTTCTGATGATCACTTAGACCAACTGTTCTCACCCAACTCAAATTGAAAAACTTGAAGCCCGATATCTAAAATTATTCAAATTTTTTATTTAAGTTGCTGTCGACAAAGCTTCTACTATAATATATTGAAAAGTGATCAGTAGAGAAGCAGTTTGTAGTTTGGGTCAAACTTATTCTTTGGTAAACTCCTCTCTATATTTGATATTTAAGCTAGAAAAGTTATTCTAGTAGCAATTAAACAAAAGGAAACTTTGAATAGTAAAAAAAAGAAAAACAAGACAGAACAACTAGAAAAGTACTCTTTATAGCTAGTATCTTGCAAAACTTTAGTTTTTTCTTTTTATTTTTGTTAATATCTTAGTGAAATTTTTGTTGAAGGTACTGGTTTGCTATAACCGAAAGATCATTATTACTTATCTTTCTAAAATAGGATATGGCTATATTGTAATATGTAGAAGATTTGAAAAGATCATAATACAGAATAGCCTGTTTCTAAAGATAGTATATTTGAAATCTTTTGGAGATAATAGTATTGTTATAACAAGTAGTTTTAGAGATATACTATAGAGTTACCAGATATATAATTTTTATACCTTTGTGCAAGTTGTAGCACATTATTTTTTTTTTTTGTTTAGTCTTAGTTCATATATTAGTATAAACTAAGATTAGACTCTAGGTAATATATACCAGTTAGTGATACAGAAGGTTCATATTGCGTCTATCGGCTAAGAACTGCTAGTCCTTTGTTGAAACAAAAAGGTGAGTTTGCCATCAGGACTTGGCAATTTTGTTGTCGAGAAATCATAATAATGAGTGAACCAAATTGTAGATTAATTATATATATATAAATAGTTTCAATAAACCAGTCAGATCCAGGGTCTTAGCTATACAGTAATAACTTTGCACTTTTTTAAAAAAAAATAAATAAATAAATATACTTTAATTTTAATTAATATTAGAGTTAGAGATTAAACTTAATAAAAGGTATAGTTTATAGTAAAATTTTACAAGAAATTTTTTCTTAAAATCCAAAAAATAGTTTTATAATTAAAATTTTATAATATTATTAATTTTTTCTTTTTTCTTTATTTTAGTTATTCAAAAAATGATTTGTATATTGTATTTAATTTATATTTTAATTAGTTTTTCTATTTGTTTTGTATAACAAGTATTTAAATACTTTGTGTATAATTAATATTATTTTTATATATAAAAAATATAAAAATTTTTATAAACTAAAAAAACTTTACCTAGATAATTGTCCGGAGCGTAGCGGAGGACTTTATATATTTAGGTAAGGTGATACAAAAAATATATTCTTGATATGTCAATAATAGTAATATCAAAATTGTAACTTTTGTATTTGGTATCTGTCCACATGTATATAATAGTTACATTCTTAATACATTACATTGTTTTAATTTGTGCTAAGTCAAAAAAAAAAGTCAGCAAGTTTATATAATTGCATTTCAGATACGCAATGCTACGCATTAACCTAGTAAATATTATAATATAGATAAAATTTTATTAGTATTTTTCTATATATTTTTTATTAATATTTTTCTTAAATTTTATTATATATATTGTATGTTGGAATAGAATTATTGTAGATTTAGAATCTATCTAAGTTGATTCTGAATAAACATAGATTGTATTAGAATTCTAAAATGTTTCTGAGTTGCTAAAAAATTCCAATTTAACTTATAATAAAATTAAGTAGATTCCAAATTATTTTATCGAGTATATTGTTCTGGAATTTAAGTCGCTTTAAGATAATATTTATTCATAACAATAATGCATCAGCAAATTAATTCAATTTATTTAAAAGAATTATATATCAGTATGGTTTTTACATTTATAATTACTAGGATGACAACTACTACCATATGGCAAATTTATTTTTTTACATTTACAATGATTTTTTTTTTACATGAATTTTTGCAATTGCATTTAATATTGTCGATTTGTGAAGAAGATTGTATAATCGACGCCTCCCGGACACTTATAAATATTAAAGGAATATTATCCAATTCAGAGAACTTGCCAGGATCCAAAGGAAGAAGTTTATTAATATTATATTTAACTTTAATAATGCCCGATTTATATCCAAGTTTATATGTTTTATTTTTTGATGCTTCAAGAATTTTGCATAAGAGTGTTTTTTGATCAGTGTGTGTTCTATCAATGCTAGGAATCTTGATATGCACTAAATCACCAATATTGAATTTGTTGTTAAATTGTTTATTACACTTATTAAGTTGTGACTTCATGTTATTACAATATCATTCAAGAAATTTTGTAGCAACGCTTCGATAAATTTCATAAGCTAATGTTTTTTGAATATTGTTCCTATTCCAGAGTGCATATTTAGATTTAGGACTATGTTCATCTAAAAAAGACTGCAAAGTAAAAATAAATTTAACTTATATTATATATGAAATTAAATAATATGTAATTATCTGAGTATCGATACTTGTAGTAGTAGCTGTCAAAACAGAAAGTTTATACTTTTTACTTGAAGAAACGTTGAGGACATTTTAAAATAGCCTTCTACCAACAACTTTATCTTTAGGAAAATTTCTTCCAATGACTTTATCTTTGGTAAACTTTCACTAACAGCTTCATCTTCAAGTGAACTTTCACCAACAGCTTCGTTTTCTGATAATTCAATCAGACTATTTTCTTTGTCAGATATCTATTTATTGAATTTTACAATTAGTATTTTTTTTTTATTAAAACAATAATATTAAATACTTATGCTTATCACTGTATTTTTCTTTTTCAGTTACTCCTATGCTCGACCTTTCGTTCATTCTTTCACTTAATTGATTATTCAATTTGTTATCCATGATGTTATCCATGGTATCATCTACGGTATCATCCAATATTTTATCATTTTCTATTTCATACACTCTTTTTTCACCTAATCTTTTGTTCTACAATTCATTCTCTAATTTACGCTCAAACAATTGCTGTTTCTAAAAGAGTTAAATTAAAATAAATAAATATTTATTGTACTAAAAAAAAAAAAAAAATTTCTATATTTAATGCTACAGCTCCTAAAAGTGACTCTACAACTTCTTGCCGATTAAAATCATCTTGAAGCTTAGATGGTTCGAACCAATTCTCAGGTAGTTCATCTTCTGAATTAATATATCGATCTTTAATTTCTTTTAATATTGTAAAATGTCATAAAGGGTTTTGTCTAAATACTAAAGCATAAGGATTATTTTTAGTTTATCATGACATTTAAATATTCATTGCATCTATTAAAAATATTAAATAAATCATTAAATTAAAATTTTAAATAATAAATTATTAATTAGATCGAATTTTAAAATAACAATAAAATTATATACAATAGCATAAAGGCACTGCTCAAGACCAATCCTTTCTTCCAGTATCTTCTATCCACTTGGATACTTTTTGCTAAAGAATATCATTCACACATTCTACAAGCTCTTGAATTTCTAAATGTCTCGAATGACCATTAATAATATGGACATCAGGCCAAATAGTTAGTAATTCCTGAATTATTTCTGTTGTAAATTTATGACTATTGTTGTTTTGCAGGATAATGGGAGGATTGCAACAAAGAAAAGCGTTAAAAAGGAAAACAGTAATCTCAATTGGTCTCTTGCTTGTCAAAACCCGAGCCCAAGAATACTGAGTAAAATGATCTCTTATGTGACAGATATAACGGTAATCCCCATTGGAGATACTAGTTATAGAAATTAAATCGATCTAAACTCAATTAAGAAAAACACTAGAAATGATTGGCTTCGCAGCTACTGAATTAGAAAAATTTCTTCATATTACACATGTTGTGCAATTTTTTACAAATTTCTTAACAAAGGATTGTGGAATATAGCAATATTGTTCAGAAACCTGTATTAAAAAAAAAATAAAAAAAAATAAAATAAATAAATAAA